ATTAGGGCTTTTTGTTAGGTGCTGTTGAGTAGGTTATGACTCATAGTGACTGTTCTATGAGTTCTGTTCTAGCCTCACAATTGTTGCTATGTTTGGGCCCATTGTTGTAGCCACTATGTTGTTCCATCTTGTCAAGTGTCTTCTTCCTTTTTGCTGACCCTCTGCTTTTCCAAACATGATGTCCCTCTCCAGGGACTGCCCCTTCTGATAACGTATCCAAAGTACATGAGACATCTTTGCTTCTAAGGAACATTCTGACTGTGCCTCTTCCAAGACAGATTTGTTCTTCCTTCTGGCAATCTCTGGCACATTCAGTGTTCTTCACCAACACCATAGTTCAAACACATCAGTTCTACAATCTTCTTTATTCGTTGTCCAGCTCTCACACACGTAGATTGTTGTTGCTGAGTGCTATTGAGTCGGTTCTGATTCACAGAGACTCTGTTTAGGATTTCTGAAGCTGTAAATCTTTATGGGAGCAGAAAGCCTCATCTTTCTCCTTCGATATACATATGAAGCAATTGGAAGTACCTTGGCTTAGGGCAGGCACACCTTAATCCTTGAAGTGGTGTATTTGCTCTTTAATACTTTAAAGAGGTCTTTTGCAGCAGATTTGCCCAGTGCAATACATTGTTTGATTTTTTTTTAAATTTATTTTTTAACTGGGTGTTGGTTGTGGATCCAAATAAAATGAAATTCTTGGCAACTTCAATCTTTTCTCTGTTTATCATGATATTGCTTATTGGTCCAGTTGTGAGGATTTTTGTTTTCTGTCTGTGGAGGTGTAATCTTTGGGTCAGGGGGAGAAATGCTCTCAGAGAGTGGACTTAGTCCTCAGCTGAATGCTTGGCGGCAGGCTGGGCACCAGTGGTAAGTGGGTCCAGTTCTTGTCCATCCACCGCTCTTGTTTAGATGATACTGTTGTGTAACATGCAGCTGTCCCCTCTAGCAACCTCCCCTTATGTAATATCTCTCTTCTTTTTCTCCAGATGCTGTGACTGACAGACTCACTGGGGTTTGTACATGTTGGGGAGGAGCCTTCTCTTCGTGGGGTGACCATATTCAATTGGGCATGCCTGTAGTCCTCCAGGCCCATGGACTTGAAGAAGCTTCCGGTGAGCATGTTGGGTTAACTGATGGACATTTATCTGTGTGCCTTTGTTGAACTCTTCTTACCTGTGTTTGCCTGGGAGGGCCACACTTGGGAGTTTTGAACCAAAAGTGAGAATGAGCATGTGACTCTGTGGCCCCTCTGAGAGGGTGCCATGACTTGGCTGGAAAGCTCAGACTCGGAGAGCTCTACCTGAAGGGTAAAGGGTGAAAGAGTGGACACGTGGTATGGAGTGAGGTTTCTGATTTGGAGTGGCACCGGGCCAACGTTCCACTTCTTGCCCAGGGCTGTGTAATTTAGTCTGTTTGCTCCTTGCTGGGGCTGTGCCCCAACCTGCTGAGCCATGGTGAGTTCGGTTGGGCACCTTTTCTGTGGTTAGGGAAGAGTTCCCCACCCTGACTCTGCGCCCAGCTGCTCCATCAGCTGGTGGGAGCTGCCAGGCGCTCCTGCTCATCCACAAGATCAGCCGTCTTCTTCTCCCAGCCTTACACAGCCCAGATCTGTCAGCCAGAGTAGCTGCCTCCTAAGACAGAAACTGCCCATAGAGGGGAGGTTGTGTAGACCTTTGCTTGGACCTCTGCCCCAGTTTCCTCACAGAACTGTCTGTCTCTGGTCTCCCATCTTCCACCTGGCTGCCAGATTTGCCACCCAAAACACACAACAACCTTTAGTCACCTCTGCTGAACACCCTGCCACCAAGAGGGCACAAAGCCCTCCCTCCCCTGCCCATTTCACCAGCCTCTCTAGCCTCCTTGTCCTGCCCCGTACCACAGGTAATTCTGAACACTTCATAATTCTGAACACCTACTGTATTTAGGGAGTCCTGGTGTGGCGTGTGGGTTAATGGGCCAGACTGCAAAGCCATTTGAACTGCAAGGTCTGCAGTTCAGGATCACCAGCTGCTCCTTGGAAACGCTATACAGGGTCACTATGGGTCGGAACCGACTCAACGGCACTCAACAACAAAAATAACCATATTTAGGCGGTTCCTTCTTAAGTGCTCTTCCACCCCCTTTATCCTGCTAGCTCCGATAAGACTCAGTTTAGACCTCATCTTCTCCAGATACGTCCTCATTCCTCCCTCTTTCCAGTGTTCATTGCACCTCTACACAGTATTGACATAATCTGTCTGTCCCACTTTATCTCGATATCCCCAGCTCCTAGCATGTAGCAAGGGCTTAGTAACTATTGACTTGAACTATGAATAGCGATCTTCCTGCCAAAGAGATGTTGAGGAGGCCTGAAGAAGGGGCTGTGAGTCCACACACTGGGTCGTTAGTGATGGCTGACTTCTTGTGCCTCTGGATCAGCTAGAGAATAGGCTTATGAACTTGAACTTGAAGCAGGCGTATTCAAAGATGCCTCCAGCTGCCCTGTGGGTCTCCATGAACAATGATTGGCACAGAGGGGAAGCTCCCCTTGCCGGTGCAAGGCTGCTTTATCCCAGCCACAAGGAATGTACACTGCTCACCTCCCAGGATAGTTCCCACAGGTTATGATGTGGTGGCCTCCCTAGGGAGGCTGAGGACAGTGTTGATCTGCAGTTCCTCGCGTATATGGGAAGCAAAGTTCTGCAATCCAAGGGGACTGATGTATCTCTTGAGCCTGCAAGATCGCCCAGGAGAGCCCAGGCTAGAGAGCTCTCCAGGGCCGTTTTTTCCTGGAGGAATTTTTGTTTTCCTCCTTCTCTTTCTGAATGGTGGATGCGCCCTGAACTAGAAGGCAGGGCCACCATCCTCATCGGCCCATCTCTGTGGGCTGCTGACTTTGGGTTGGTAGTGCTATAGGCACTGGGGAGGTGGGACCTGGTTTGGAGAGGTGGACAGGGCTCCTCCAGAAGTGATAACACAGGCAGTTCAGGAATAGAACCTGATGGGTTTCTACCTGAGGTGCCAGGTGAATTGTAGATGGGCTTCTAAAAATAATCCCGGTGGCTTGGGGCAGTCAGAAATCTTCTTGGAGAAGCAGGAGGGACTGGGGCAATCTGGGGTGACAGGAACTGCTGGAGAGGTGGTCTGCCATCTGCTAGCTGCTGCAGATGCCATCCTTCTCTTTCTGACATGCCCAGTTGTCAGTCTGTCCTTCCCTCCTCGCCGGCTGCTGACCCCCAGCCCGTGTTGGGGGGTGCTACAGCAGTGAGGTCTACTCTCCTTTGATTTTAGATTTTTTATACTGCGCTGTGTTTTTGTGGTTGACAATATACACAGAACACACGTCAGTTCAGCAATTTCTCCATAGACAACTCGGTGACCTTGATTACACTCTGCAAACTGTGCAACCATTCTCACCCCCACTTTTCCAAATCATTCCCCCCCAATGAACATCACCAACTCACTGCCTCCTAAGTTTCCTACCTAACTTTTCAAGTTAAGCACAGTGCCCAAGACAGATGGTCTTTACTAGCTAAACTAAACTGTTGTTGATTTAAAGATGACATCTGGGGAGATTTTTGGTTGAAAGTTTGAAGATGATCTCAGGGCAATAGTTTGTCTAGTTTCCATGGACTCCAGAAAGTATGGAGTCTATGAGAATTTGAAATTCTGTTCTGCATTTCCTCCCTTTTGATCAGGATTCTTCTATGGACTCTTGGATCAAAATGTTCAGTAATGGTAGCCGGCTCTCTCCTTGGTTCTCCACTGCTCTGGTGACCTCCCCTTTTGTGCACTTCCTGGAGACTTCCTGCCCTTAACCCCTGGACTCACAGCCCCTCCTCGCTGTTTCCATTCATCTCCTTGAGTGTGGTGGACGCTGGGGAGCTGTGCTAGCCAAGTGGGCGGGAAGAGACCGCTCCAGACTGTGTCGGTGTTGGTGTCGCCTAGGAAACCCTGGGCCCTGGAGAAGCACACTTAGTCTCTAACCCCAGCTCCAGTTGTCACTTCGCCGACTGTTGGCCTATGTCCTGTCTCTCAGGTGTTGGAAGCCCATCTGAAGGGTGGCCTGGACTTCGGCAGAGAAGCTTCCAGCCCACTCTCAGTGCCTTTTGTCCCTCTTTGTCTGGGTTGACGGTGATGCTGCTGCCCTTGCGTGGACTCCCTGATGGTGTTTATGGCGCTCGGGAGGTGCTGGGGCTAGTGTCCCCCAGGCCAACTCCTGGGCCCAGGGTGTCCATGTGCATCTGGGCCCTCTGCAGTGATGAGTGCTGTCAGCAACACAACACCTGGCGGGGCTGGCTCCTGGAATCCTGGGGGCCTTTCCTCTCAGCTGAGCCCCCTCTCCCCTTCATGGGGGTCCTTCTGCTAGCTTCCTGCCCCCTCTGCCCTCCTACACTAAAGTTCTGTCCCCTCCGGACCTCTCCTTCTCCAAGGATGTGCTGTTAATACCTCAAGGCCCTCTGTCTTGCTTCCAGTAACTCCAACTGTGGAAAGAGCTGTTACTGACCTGGCTCCATGCTGGGGGGTCTCTGAGTGGTTTGGGGAGCACTCAAGGATGACAGGCTAACCCACAGCAGGGCCCTAGTCTTGCCCACTGATTTGGATGGAGGTAAAGGGAAAGTAGTCTGAGAAGAGAGCCACACTACTCAGCAGACCCCAGGGTCCTCCCTCAGTGCCCCAGCCAACCACCACCATTTCTTACTCAGCTTCTCCTTCTGTGGCCATCAGACAGTCTGTCCCTACCCTCTGTGTCCCTGGCCCTCTGCTCACCCAGGAACACCCTCAGCAGGGCCTCCTCTGATGAATGGACCCAGCTCCTGGACACCTGGCCCAGCCTTGTACAAACTTTCTCCTTTCCCTTTCTCCCTCCCTCCTTCCCTCCCTCTCCCAGGCTGCCTGAGCAGCCGCTGCCTCCTCCTCCTGCTCCCTCCTGCTCCCTCCCGAGTCTGCAGCGACTGGAAATAGGCTGAGTTAATCAGCAGACTGAAGCTCTGCTCAGCAGTGCCTGGGCTCTGCAGCTCTCTCCCCTCTTCTCTGTTCCCGTGCTCTCTTTCTGGAGGGCAGTGTTGGAAGTTGCAGTAGCAGCTCTTGGAGCAGGCTTCCTCGATGCTTTTTAAGCAGGCAGAGCTATGGATGCCCCATCAGGGCAAAGCCAACAAAGTGAGTACGTCAGCTTGTCAGCTCCATGGGGAAATATCTGCTGAAAATGGCTTGCTCCCTGCTTTGTGCTGGAATCTTTGGCTTAATGCTTCTGATACATCCCAGAGGCAGCTCAGGTGATGGTGAGGGAGGGAGGGAGTACCTTGGATGGGGACAAAGATGGGGTAGGGAACCCGAATGCCAGTATGTCTAGGTTGTTGCCAGTCATCTCCCCTTGAGTCCTCCAGATGGGTTCCCTCAGGACTGGAGGCTGAGGCTCTGTGTGCTGCCCTGGCCGGTTATGCTAGGACCTGGTCCCCATGCACAGGAGGACAGGTGACAGCCTCTGGTCATGGAGGTTGGGCATGGATGCCAGCCCTCCTCACTGGACCACGTGGGTAATGGAGACAAGTGCACTTCGGGGCTCCTGGCTGTAGCGGTTGAGGTTAGCCTGAGCCCAGAGGAGTGAGGAGGAGGATGCCCCTCTGCGTGGGCTTTAGTTGGCCTGTCTGCAGTCAGGACTGGTCTGTGTCCGGCTAGTCCCTGAAGGATGTATCCTGACTGCCACAAAGACCAAGTGTCCAGTGACTGAACCTCTGCTTGGGCGCCTCGAGCCTTGTATGGAGTCCCATCTGTATTGTCCAAGGAGGCTGTAACTGTGGGACCTAGCCAGTCCTACCCAGTGGTCATTTGCTGTTGTCAGGGTCCACTAAGGTATCTACCTGAGCCTGTGAGATATTGAGTCTCCTTGCTCCCCACATCACTAACCTTGCAGTTCGCAGCCCAGTGCTTAACCTTCAGTGCTACCAGGGCTGCTTAAAACAGGGCAAGTAGAAAGGAAACCAGTTACTGAGAGGAGCTCCCACAGATCTGGAGACTTGGTTGAGGTGGGCGTCAGAGGCCTCAGGTGTGCTGGCTCTGAGAGGCTCGTGGGAGGAATACAGAATGCCAGCCTCCAGTCTCATGCGGCAGGTCCAATACCAGAGTACAGAATGGTGTCCTCCAGGCCCCACCATGCCTTACCCCCCACACTTCTGTCTGCTCCTGTTGAGCCAGAGCAGATACGCCCAGGGGTGGGTGGTCCCACCTGTAAAGTGGTGGAGCTGCCTGTGTAGGTGGAGAGGCCTTCTGTAGTCATCAGCCCCCAGGAATAGCTCGTGGTGACTGTTGCAGGGGAGATGGGGGGCTATCAGGAAGCAGGATGGATTTCCCCTATAGTGCACGCGGGACTGTGCTGGCCTCAGACCAAGTGTGTAGAACTCGGATTCTTACTGCTAAATGAACTGGCCCACTCCCTTGGTAGGGTACTCCGGGGGACCCAGTCTATTTTGGGAAATGCTGGTGAACCCCACCCAGCAGATCTGCTTTCTCTCTGCCTCTTCAGAATATCCTTCAGAAAGTGTCCAGGGCTTCCAGTGAGTTCCACAGCTTTGGTTCTAAGACCCCACAGAAAATGTGGTGATTTTCCCCTAGTTTAACCTTTGTGCTAGGGAACGGTGAGGCGCTAGTGAGCGTAGATTGCCTTGTGGAGAGCCGCAGAGGAGCCTGGCTGTGAAGGCTGTGTCCGACCCTCTACCAGCCCCCGACCGGCTGGCCTGTGCAGGCAGGCAGGCCCTGTCTTCTGAAGGCCTGTAATTACGGCTCGGCCTGTTTTCCTGCTGTTTGTCTTTTATCACCAGCCCAGAGATCAGTGTTGCTGGCCAGACACAACACGCGGGGGTGGACGCACGCGGTCGGCTTGGCAGCCCCCCTCCCACTTCAGCTGGTCCTACCCCAGTGTCTGCCACCCTGGGCCCACACCTCCCACACCTGCCGAGGGGCGAGGCAGAGGCTCCGTGGCGGTAGCTGGGGACACACACACAGAAGGAGAGAATCTATTCAGGGTGGGGATGCCTGGATTAAAGGGGCTGATGTCAGGATGGCTGTGGACCGTGGGTGAGGGCTTGTGGACTTTTCTGAACAGTGTGTGCAGATAGGATTGACCACCATCCAAGGTGGAAATCCAGGCCCTCCAGGTGGCCTCTCTTAGGTGCTGCCTTGCTGGATGCTGTTGCTTCCTGAGCCTGGGGCACATCCCGAACAGATCTGATTGATTCCCAGGAGACCCCAGCCCTTCCTTTGCATCTCCCTTCCCATCCCAGTTTCAGATCTGCAATTCCCCTGCCCCATCTTTTGCTCTTCACCCCTGAATGGGTTGGGTTGTGCCTGGAGTAGAGTGGAGGGGGTCAGGAGAGGCATTGGAAAACTAAACGTGTGGTGATGGAAGCTGCTCAGGGGTGCCCCCCGTAAGTAACTGGAGGCCGTGGCTTCATCCGAGCCGAGCCAAGCTGGCGGGATGTCTGTCCTGGTCTTTGACCCCAGAAGGTTGTGTTTGCCTTTTCCTTCTTGTTTACCCCGGATCCTCCCTGAAGCTTTGCTGAGGTGTCAGCGTTTCATGAAGTTCGTGGGGAATTCCATGGTTTTTTAATTCCCTTTTCCCACAAACTTCCTGAAGCCCACTTGTACAGGTTTAGCCAGCCTTCCCTGGTGAACATTTGTTCGGGACCAGGGCGTCTCCAGTGGGCAGGGGCCAGGATTCCTGCCAGAGAGGCTGGGCCCCAAAGTACTGATTATTACCATGCTGGGGCAGCCCCTGCCCAGAGGGCTGCTTCTTCCTGGGCTGAAATAACCAGTTTATCCCCTCTGGTAAGAAGCAGCTCTTATCTTCATAATCCCCCAAAGCCACTGTGGAGAGTGGGGATTAGGGGAGATTTAGGGGAGGGAGATGGAAGTCTTTGGGCAGGGTCTTCTGGAAATCTCCTCACCCCTCAAGCCAAGGGCAGCAGGCCCAGCACTGAGGGCTCCCTCAGGTGCCTCCCAGGTGCCTCCCAGGTGCCAGAGTTGCCGCAGGCAGATCCTGCCCCTTGGCTTCAGGAGCCCTGTGGTATGGGAAATCTGGGCCCCCCAAGTTCCCTGTGAGGGGCCAGGCCAGATTACCAGGCAGAAAGGAGGGGCTCCGGAACATTAGTGGGTAAAGTCAGACCAGGAAGTGGGCAGGCAGGACAGTGTGTGGCAGGTGTGGAAAGGGGAGGGGAATGACGTCCCAGGTTCCCAGTTCAGCCAGGATCCCCCCAGTAGGGACCTCCAGATCAGAGCCTCACTCCTCTTGCTTAGGGAGAGGCTCATTCCTTCCAGGGACATCCTGTTTTCTGGGCATCTAAATTGGACGTCTGATTCATCCTGGAGAGCCTCGCCTCTCCCCCAGGAGGCTGGACTTAGCAGGTGTGAAGTGGGGCCTGCACCAGTTTCTAAAAGGTCCAGGTGTTTGCAGTACAGAGGGCCTGATGAAGTCAGCATTGGAGTCAGAGAAGCCACGTGTGCATTTATCGCTCATCCATCCATTCAGCTGCTGCTCACTGAGCTTCAATGTGCCAGGGGTGGGATGGAAGACATCAGGTGCCCAGGGTTTTACAGGCAGACATGCCAGTCTATAAGTACAGCTCCATGTGAGCCAGGCTACCCAGGCAGGGCGCTGCTGCTGAAAACAGACTTCCCACTAAGTGCATCAGTGGCTTTGGGATGGTTTCCCAGAGGAGGTAGTGTTGGCATTGAGTCTTGAAGGGCATGGACCGGTTGTGATTCTCAGCACTGAGTTGAGGAGTTGGAGGAGCTTGGCGTGGTGAAGATGAGTGGGGAAGGTGGGTATGTCCTGAAGGCCCCCTTCACAGCTCATGTTCAGGAGTGTGGACATTCATTTGAAGATATGGGGGTCAGGAGCGAGGAGGGGTGTCAGTGGCTGAGATACGTGTTGCCTCCGGCTGTGGTATTACTGTTCGTTTGGAAAAGGAAGAGCTGGAAGTTAGAGGCTGGTAGGTAGGGTTGGAATGGAGTGGGGTCAGCTTAGTGAGGTGGTAACTTCAGGAAAGTAGACCCTGGTGGGGAGACCCCAGGTGGTGGCTGCAGTGTTTTGGACATATGGAACTTTGGGGGCATAGTGAACCAAGGGTGCCTGTGAAGCATCTGGGAGACAGTTCACTACATAGGTCTGAATTCAGGTGGTGGTCAGTCTCGAGGTGAACTTTAGGAGCTGTGAGCTCATAGGTGGCGGGAGGACTCCTAACGTGTGAAGGAAGCGGTCCTAGAAAGACGCACACAGTTGGAAAGATGTCCTAGATGGACTGTGGGCTGGATGGAGAACAAACAGCCGATGGACAGGGGACAGCAGGAGAGAAGCCAGGGCACAGTTGAGTCTTTATAGGAGGGGCCTCATATCGGGGCCACTTCCTGTCCACAACCATACTTCCCTCATCCAGGGTCCTTTCCTGGGAAAAGCTGTCTTTTTTCTGATGGTGGTGGTGGTGATGAAGTATCATTGAGTCGGTTCTGACTCATAACGACCCTGTAGATTTCTAAGCAGCAGCTGGTGGGCTTGAACTGCTGACCTTGTGGTTAGCAGCCCAATGCTTATCCTACAGTGTCACACCAGGACTCCTATTCTGATAGTCTTTACTTTCTGATATTTTGCTGTTAAATTGTCTTTTCCTTTGTAAAGTTGTGGTAATAGCAGATGGTTTGTGTGCCAATCACTGTTGTCTCAGCCCCCAGCTTCTGGTGGTCCCTGACCATTGTGATTCACTTTAGGAAGTAGAAAATTGACAAAGATGGGAGGGTTTTGGTTTTTGTTGTGTGTGTGTGTTTAATGTCTTTACTAGGAGTCCTGGTGTGGTGCTGTAGCATCAGCTCTAGACTGCAAGGTAGATTTGTATAGCAAGGCAGCAGTTCAAACCCACCAGCCGCTCTGCAGAAACCCTGTACATGGTCCTGTGAGTCAGAACCGACTCAATGGCACTTAACATCTAGTTCCCGTTCCCCATTTAACTTAAGGAGCCCCGATAGCGTAGTGGATTGCGAGCAGGGCTGCTAACTACAAGGTCAGGAGTTCCAATCTATCAGCCTGTTACACAGGAGAAATTTTGATGCTCCCGTAAAGATTTACAGCCTTGGAAACCCTATCCAAGGTTGCTTTAAGTCAGAACCAACTCGGTGGCACATAACCACCCACCTCCCCCACCCCATTTAATACGGATATGTATTTTCTGTCTATGGAACCTAAGCACTTGGAACCATTGAACTAAACTGGGAGCTCAGTGGTGGGAACCGTCTGAGAGAGCAGAGCTAACTAAGGCCGTGGGTTGAGAGTTGAGTGGAAGAAGGAGTTAGAGAACTTGACTTTGAGGAGAAGGGGCTGTGCACTCGAATGTTGTTAATTTGGTGGAGCCTGGATTATGGTTACACCCTGAGGGGCTAGGCTCATGGAGAAAGGGGAGGGCAGATGGTCAGGATGGTGAAGGGGGTTGAGCCCAGTGTGCAGGCCAAGCGCCCATCAAAGGAGGCCAGGCCTCCAGGGAGCCGCTGAGATGCCTCTGCTCCCCCCAGGGCGAGCCTCCCTTGGCCCTGGGCCTGTCCACCCGGAAGGCCCTCAGCACGCTGAAGGAACAGCTGGAGGCTGTGCTGGAAGGACACCTGAAGGAGCTCAAGAAACGTCTCACCTGGAAGGTGAGCTGCTTCCCAGAGCCCAGCGGGATGGCAGAGGCAAGGAGGCCCATCCGGGAGGCTTGGATGCCCTGTCACCTCTCTGGAAAATCAGAAAGAAGCAGACAGAGAGGGAAGACAAAGCCGATCAGACACACAATCAGGGTGGGCGAGCTGGGGAAGGTGGCTAAGTCTAACTGGACCCCTGTCCCTGGCCTCTGACTCCCGCCTCCCTGCCGTCCGTCGGTCTGTCCTCAGGAGATGTGGAGAAGCAGCTTTCTGCACCACAGTAACCGCGGCTCCTGTTTCCATTGGCCGGGAGCCTCGCTCATGCTGCTGGCTGTGCTCATGCTGCTGGGCTGCCACGGGAGCCAGCCCGCTGGGAGGTAAACAAGGCGGAGAGCAGGAACCAGAGGTGTCAGCAACCAGAGGGCAGCACTCTACAAAGAAATTAAGTTTGGTTTGGGTTTACAGAGCACCTTAGTTTTTCATTCAGCAATCCATACACATTTTGCTTCTTGCGTTAGTTAGCTGCAGTCCTCACTTCCCTTCCTGGGTTCCTGTTACTGTCCGTCTTTCCTTCCTGCCCCTGCCTGCCTTTGGAGCTTTGTTTCTGGGAAAATGCTGCGTCTTGTGTCTCTTGTGGTTAGATTGCTGTGAGGCTCACTCCCCATGTTTTAGGCCTGCCTGTTGTTTGGCTGAGAGGTGACCCCCGCCCTCCAGGAGAAAGCAACTCTTATCAGAAGGCCTGGGGTGGGCTGGGCTGGGTGGGAGAGCCCCTTGTTCTGGAAGTACAGCCTCTACTGCATCTGCCCAGCCATGGGGTGGAGCTGGTGAACGCTTCCGCACTCTTCCTGCTGCTGTTGCTCAACCTCATCCTCATTGGGCGGCAAGAGAGGCTGAAGCATCGGGAAGTGGAGCAGAGACTCCGAGGGATCATTGACCAGATCCAAGGTGAGCTCAAGGGCAGGAAAGATGTCCTAGGAGGCATCAGAGCCCCTGGTAGCCGCCCAGCTGTCTGAGCTGGAGCCTGGGCAGGAAGGAGGAATGATGGCAGAGCTGGGGGTTTGGTAACAATGGAGACCAACAGAGAAGGCAGGGTCTGCTATGTCTGGTCATACTGTGCCAGGGACTGGGGGAGGTACAAAGGTGGACAAGAGAAGTCTGAAATATCTGCAAGAGTGGAGGTAAGGACAGGAGCTGGGAGCCCAAGAGGGGGCAGCCCAGTCCTGAAGGAAAAGTAGGGTTCAGAGCCTGGTTTCTGCTGACTGAGCTGCTGTGAACCCTGGCTGCAGTTGGCTCTTTGGGATACAGTGACTCTTGTTAGCTTCAGCAGCGTGAGGTCTCAGCATCTGCTCTGACGGGACATCCTCCACAAGTCCTGGCAGTGAGGTTCCATTCTGAAACAATTGAGTGTCAGCCACGTGCCAGACACCTGGATTACAAGGCTCACCAAGGAAGATTCTCTCAGGAACCATTGGTGCCTCCCTATTGCTTACCAAAGTCGTCCTAGATACCGGATGGTCTTCCTGCGGCCTCTGCCACCGGCTCTGACCGGCGCCTCCAGCCCTTTCTCTGGCTGCTCATCCTAACTACTCACTACCACTGGGGGCTTCTGGCCTTCGCAGCTTTGTTCCGTTTTTCCTCTGCCTGGTGTACTTTCCCCTCACTCCTCTTCAATGGGCACCATCCCACCTACCCACCAAGGCCCACCTCGAATGTGCACTTCCTGAAGCCCGCCCCCGCCCCCCAGCCCCAGATCCATTTGCTCTCTCTGTCCTGAGGCACTGATATCTTTCCTAACTTGCTGAGCACCTGACCCCCTGAGTTTGAGTGGTTGTCTGTGGCTCGTCTCCTCTGCCAGACTGTCACTTCTCAAGGACAGGATTCATGTCCTCCTCTACCTTGCCTCCGTCCCAGGACTCAATGCCCCGTCACAGACTTTCAGTGGCAGTGGTGAAGGGGGTTTGAGTACAGTGGGGAGTGTGGAGAAGAAGAGCTTTGAGAGGTTCAGGGGTTCTGTGGAGGTGCAAGGCGCTGGGCTGAAGGGAAGCGTCAGGGAATGATGTGGGTGGAGCGGACAGGGCTCACACACCTGTCAGACCCAGCCTGGCTGTGCAGTGGAGCCGTGGGTGAGCGGGTTGCTTCCTTCTCTCCATTCTCTTCAGATGCCCTCAGGGATGGTAAGGAGACCAGATGGCCCAATGCTTTGTACCCAGACCTCCACATGCCCTTTGCGCCCTCCTGGTCCCTGCACTGGGCCTACAGAGATGGACAGCTGGTGAACCTGCCCGTCAACCTCTTGGTAGAAGGTGACGTCATAGCGCTGAGGCCAGGCCAGGAATCCTTCGCCTCTCTGAGGGGCATCAAGGTAGCGTCAGGCTTCTCTCCCTGGGGACTGACTCCTCCAGCCTGTGACATGGTCTCCAGGTGGCTGGAATGACTCAGGAAGAGTGCCTTCCAGTAGACCCTTAACCACCCTGCCTGCGCCCCTCCCTGCCGGCAGGATGATGAACACATCGTTCTGGAGCCTGGGGACCTGTTTCCCCCTTTCTCCCCACCCCCGTCTCCCCGGGGAGAAGTGAAGAAAGGGCCCCAGAACCCTCAGCAGCACCGGCTGTTTCGTGTTCTCGAGACCCCTGTGATTGACAACATCAGGTAAGCGGGCTCCTTGCTTCATCACTGCGCGCGCGCACACATACACACCACACACCTCACACACACACCGCCCCCAGGAGCAGGGCCCTCCCAAGGCTCTTCTCTGTACCGTCTTAGGGACCTCTTAGACTAGTGAGTGCTCCCCTTCAATCTCAGCTCTGAGGGCTATGGAGGCCAGCCGGCCAGCCATCAGCCATTCTCCCAAGGGGCCATCGACCAGGGCACAGCCCTCTCCCCTGAGCAGAGCTGAGGATCATCTCTTAACTGCAGATGGTGTCTGGACATGGCCCTGTCCCGCCCGGTCACCGCCCTGGACAACGAGAGGTTCACCGTGCAGTCGGTGATGCTGCACTATGCTGTGCCCGTGGTCCTGGTGTGTGAGGCCGGCCCTTGGGCACGGGAGGGCCCAGGAGTGGGGAGCCCCCGGACCAGACCTAGGCAGGCTTGTGTGTGAAGACAGGGCCCTGGATGAATGAGTGGCCAAAGGAAGGGGAGCCTTGGCCCTGGCCCCTCTCCAGGGAGGTGGTTAAGGCCATGCCCCTCGCGTACCCTCCAGGCTGGCTTCCTCATCACCAATGCGCTGCGCTTCATGTTCAAGGCCCCTGGGCTGACCTCCTGGCAGTACACGCTGCTCCAGCTCCAGGTGAGGCCTGCCCTTCCTTCCCATGGTGAGGTTCTCGCCATGTTTGCCTGTCCCCTTGAGGTGCCCTGACTGTCCTTCCTCTCTGGAGCCCTGAGGTCTGTCCCTTGGGCTTCAGCATAAGAACTCTAGTTCTTCCCTTCCTGCCCCGGACAGCTGCCCTTTCTCCTGGCCACATGGTGAGGGGAGCGGTCTGCCTGGGTTCCCCGTGAGCCAGTGGCCCTCTCCTCCCCAGGTGAACGGCGTCCTACCCATCTTCCCTCTACTCTTCCCGGTCCTCTGGGTTCTGGCCACCGCCTGTGGAGAAGCTCGTGTCCTGGCCCAGATGAGCGAGGCTTCCCCCAGCTCACTGGTAGGAACGTTCTCTCAGTGCAGGACCCAGGGGGCAGGTTGGCTACACCGGGGACAGACAGGAGTCCTACTCCCCGCAGACGGGGGCTCAGACAGCCTGGGCATCCTTCACCAGAGGGTCCCTGCTAGCCTGGGGGCTTGTGAGGAGGTGCGTTTTCCTCATGCAGGCCGTCCCCTCTCTTTCTGCATAGCTGGCCAAGTTTTCGGAGGACACTCTCAGCAGTTACACCGAAGTCGTCTCCTCAAAGGTTTGCTGACTCAGATAACGCTGGTCCCTCCTAGGAGCCCCCCTCATGGGCTGCCAGCTTCTGGTTGGGCTCTTGAAACCACTAGTCCCTCATCCCATGTAGGGACACACCTGGGTCCAGACAGACACGCCTGTACCCCAACTTCCAATGCTCTCCCGACTCTCCCTCTTTGGGCCCCACACAGCCTGACAGACGTTACCTCTTTTCCCCAGGAAATGCTACGCTGCATTTGGAGCCACTTTCTGCGGGTGGTCCAGGGGACGTCGCCAACGCTGAGCCGCAGTTCCAGCCTGCTGCACAGTCTGGGCTCCGTCACGGTGAGTGAGGGCCCTCAGACTTTCCACCCGGTGGTGTCCAGTTGTGTACACTCTTTATGTGTTCGCAGGTGGGATAGGTTGAAGCCAAGCCCCCTTTCCTGTCCCACTCGTCCACTCTGCAGGTCCTCTGCTGTGTAGACAAGCAGGGCGTCCTGTCGTGGCCGAATCCCAGCCCTGAGACGGTGCTGTTCTTCAGTGGGAAGGTGGAGCCCCCGCACAGTAGCCATGAGGACCTGACAGATGACCCATCCACACGCTCTTTCTGCCACCCCGAGGTGGAGCAGGGGCACGGCCGGCTCACAGGGAGTGGGAGGGCACCGTTGGGATGGACTCCTGAGCAGTTGAGGCACAGCCAGGGCAGTGAGGGGCCCAGGAGCCGGTTGGACGTGGTCCTAGGCCTGTGCTCTTTGCTCTTCTCAGCCCCACGAACGGGACGCCCTCCTGGCTGGCTCGCTGAGCAGCACGCTGCACCTGACCATCGAGCAGGAGCGGGGTGACTGGCCGGGCGATGGCACCAAGCCCCACGAGCCCCATGCTTACCCTAAGCCACATGGCCGCAGCAAACACCCATCTGGTTCCAACGTGAGCTTCAGCAGGGACACCGAGGGTGGGGACGAGGAGCCCAACAAGGTGAGGAGAGAGGCAGAGGGCAGCAGCCACTTGGGCCAGCGGGGGTGTCCTGGCCCCCAGGCTAGGGGTCTGGTCCAGCCTGGAGTGGTGGAGCCTGACATGTGGAGGTGGCGCCCGGATTCCAGAGCCCTCGCTGACCACTCAGGACCCCGTCTCGGTGCTCTGTGATTAGGTCCACCCCCTTCTCCAGGCCTCACAGGAACTAGTTGTTGGGGCTGGTCCCTGGTGGCACAGTGGTAAAGCGCAGTTCAGACCCACCAGCCAGTCCTGGAGAGAAAGGTGAAGCCAGCTGGAATGAGACTTACAGCCCTGGAAAGGCTATGGGGCGTTGGAGTCTGACCTACAAGGTCGCTATGACTTGATGGCAGCAAGCCAATGGGCGTCCCTGTCTTGTCTCCCAATCCCAACCTGCTGAAGGTGAGGCAGGAGTCCCGGCAGCAGTGGTTATGACTCGGCTGTTAACTGACAGGTCGGAGGCTGGCCCCCACCAGCTGCTCTGCAAGAGGAAGATGCGCTTTCCTGCTTCCATAAAGATGGCAGCCTTCGAAACCCTGTGTGGCAGCTCTGCTCTGTCCTGGTCCCGGCTCTTTATGAGTCACCAGCAACTTGACAGAGGGCTTAGGGATTTTTTTTATTAAGTCGCTGTAAAACATTTCCCCTGTCTGAAGAAGATCTTTGGCTGTGTCCTTCTTGCTCTGCTCACCCCTCTTTTTGGGTGTGATCATTGTCATCTCAGGCCTCCCCTGCAGACTAGAGGACTTGCCTAGGTCTGGAAGCAGGTCAGAACTCAAGAAGCTACAGGAGGGTCTCAGACCAGCACCTTCCCCGTCAGCCCTTGTGTGTCTCCCAGATCCAGCCCGGGATGGAGGCAGAGTCCTACGAAGCTGAGGACTTTGTGTGTGACTACCACCTGGAGATGCTGAGCCTGTCCCAGGACCAGCAGAACCCCTCCTGCATCCAGTTCGACGACTCCAACTGGCAGCTGCACCTCACTTCCCTCAAGCCGCTGGGCCTCAATGTGCTGCTGAACCTGTGCAATGCCAGCGCCACGGAGCGACTCTGCCGCTTCTCAGACCACCTGTGTAACATCGCCTTGCAGGAGACCCACAGCGCCGTGTTGCCAGTGCACGTGCCCTGGGGCCTCTGCGAGTTGGCCCGCCTCATCGGTAAGGCTACCCAGCCTGGGCCTGCTCTTTGCTCTCAGCTCTTGTGACTGCTTCCTGACGTGGAGGGATGGGAAGGCAGTCAGTTATCCTGGCTGTGTGATGTCTGTCCGTGCTGGGAAGGGTGGGGCAGGGGGAGTTGAGTGCCTGCCTCCCCTCCCCCTCAGGTTTCACTCCGGGGGCCAAGGAGCTCTTCAAGCAGGAGAACCATCTGGTACTCTACCGCCTCCCCAGTGCTGAGGTGGTGAAGGAGACGTCGCTGGGGAGGCTCTCGTGTGTCACCAAACGGCGCCCTCCGCTCAGCCACATGATCAGCCTGTTCATTAAGGATACCACCACCAGTGAGCTGCCCCTCTCCCAGCATCGGTCCAGCCTCTCGAGGAGCAGACCGCTTCCCGGGTCTTGGGTGCAGCAGGGTTGGACTTGGGGATGGGCTGAGAGGATGGGTTATCTGGTGCTTAGACTTGCTGAGGGACAGATACTATGGTGTCTGCAGTTGGGTGCCGGTACAGACACCCCAGAAAAGCTTATAGCTGTGGGGCCTGGTGAGCTCCCATCCACCCGGGGCTCCTTAGCACCCATGTTCATTTGCTGCAGCCAGATTAGAGTTGGGTGGGGGTGACTTGGGACACCTATGGGCTTGGCCTTCTTCACGACACTTCAGGCACAGAGCAGATGCTATCCCACGGCACGGCCGATGTGGTCCTGGAGGCCTGCACAGACTTCTGGGATGGAGCTGACATCTACCCACTCTCTGGCTCCGACAGGTGTGTGAGGAGTGAGACCCTGGGTGAGCCAACAACTCCACGGCCCGCCTAACCCTCCCACGGGCCTGGGACCATCCTGGGAGCAGGCCCCTCACTGTGTTCCCGTCCCCTTTCCCGGCAGAAAGAAAGTGCTGGATTTCTACCAGCGTGCCTGCCTGTCTGGCTACTGCTCTGCTTTTGCCTACAAGCCTATGAGCTGCACCCTGTCCTCTCAGCTCAACGGCAAGTGCATCGAGCTGGTGCAGGTGCCCGGCCAGAGCAGCATCTCCACCCTGTGCGAGCTGCCCAGCACTGTCCCTGTCAAGCACAACATCCGCCGCAACAGCTGGAGCTCCGACGGTACCTACTGCTCGGGACTCTATGGGGCCAGGAAGCCAAGGAGACCGTGGCCAAGCCTCTCATTGTCACAGAAGGGCCCGTCCCTTAGTTCTCTCATCTCTGAATAGGTGCCTGCCCCACTCTGCTCGAGTCTGTTGTGATGCTCAGATGGGACCCTGGCTGTCAAAGTGCTTTCTTGGGAACCCCTAAAGTAGCTTGTCTGTGGGCACTCGCCTTCTGAGACTCAGAGGCCCCAGACACCGCAGGAGCGCAAGGCCCCAAAGCGCCGCCCCCGCCTCCCCTGCCAAGCACACAGACCTATATAGAGAGTATTAGCAACCCAGGAGAACCATGGGTTGAAGCAGATCTAAGGATGGGGAGCAGGGTTGGGAAGAGTGGGGTCCATGCTCTGCCGTGACCCCAGGACTGCCCTGTGACTGATGAACACCCTCCTTTGTCTTTTCTCCCATGTTTGTCAACTCCCTTGTGTGTCTTGGACACGTGTGTGTATGTGTGTGTGTGTGCCCTCTGGCACACTCACGTGGTGGTGGCATGCATGTGTGTGGCCCTGGGCTGCCTCTGGAATCTCCCTGGGTGTTGTGCCTGGTCCCGGCTGGGCTGGTGCCCCGTGCCCACGTGAAGAAGGGATCGGGGAGGCACTGGAGAAGGAGGACTGCATGCAGGCCCTGAGTGGCCAGATCTTCATGGGCATGGTGTCATCTCAGTACCAGGCCCGGCTGGACGTCGTGCGCCTCATCGATGGCCTGGTCAACGCCTGCATCCGCTTCGTCTACTTCTCCCTGGAGGATGAGCTCAAAAGCAAGGTGGGAGGGCGACCACCTTAACCTGCCTCTTTGCGGGTCCGGGAGCCTGTCTCGTTACGACCATCTTCTTTTTGCAGGTGTTTGCAGAAAAGATGGGTCTAGAAACAGGCTGGAATTGTCACATCTCCCTCACGCCCAACGGGGACATCCCTGGCTCCGAGATCCCACCATCCAGCCCCAGCCACACAGGTTCCCTACACGAGGATGTGAACCAAGGTAAGCTCGCAGCCCTGCCCTCCCTGGAGCCACCACCAGCAACAGCCTTCGGAGTGATGAGCAACGACAGTTCCCCTGCCGATAGCATCAGCCAAGGGGACCTGGAGGCTGGGAGGTGTAAGCTCTTGTGCCACCCGCAGGGCAGGGACCTCCAGAGGCTGACCTCACAGTGAGAACCTGGTCTTTGTCCCTACAGTGTCCCGAGACGACGTGGAAGGGTTTCTCCTGATGGACGAGGAGGGACACTCAGACCTCATTAGCTTCCAGCCCACAGACAGTGACATCCCCAGCTTCCTGGAGGACTGCAACCGGGTACAACGCAAGACCTGGACCCCTTTGTCTTGGCGAGGGCAGGTTGGGACAAGAGGGACAAGAGGCAGACCCTCCCCCTGTCCTCAAGCTGCTGTCCCCTGCCTTCTCCAGGCCAAGCTGCCCCGGGGGATCCACCAGGTGCGGCCCCACCTGCAGAACATCGACAATGTGCCCCTGTTGGTGCCCCTCTTCACCGACTGTACCCCTGAGAGTGAGTACCAGGAGCTATGCACCCTAAGGGCTCGGGAGGGGAGCTTGGTTTCCTATGCAGAGAGTGGGGGATCCCTGGCTGTAGGTGGCTGGGAATCTGGTGGGGTAGAGCCGTGAGCGTGCCCATTCTAGGGGTAGGGAGTGACATTATTCTTAGAATGTTTATCCTGGGGCATTGTGCCTTTGCCCCCAAGAGGGGCCGCTCCCCTTGTCTTCCGGCCTCCAGACCTCTGCTCAATACTGCAACCCTATCTGCTTCCCCCTCTGCCCTGCCCCCAGCCATGTGTGAGATGATTAAGATCATGCAGGAGTACGGGGAGGTGACCTGCTGCCTGGGCAGTTCAGCCAACCTGCGTAACAGCCGCCTCTTCCTCCAGAGTGATGTCAGGTCAGAGCCAGACTCGAGGGTTGGGGGGGCGGGGGGGGCAGGGACAGGAGGGACTGTGTCTGGGCCAAGACTGCAGCTGACAGATGTTTTCCGCCCCTGCAAACAGCATTGCCCTGGATCCCTTGTACCCGTCCCGGTGCTCCTGGGAGACCTTCGGCTACGCCACCAGCACCAGCATGGCCCAGGCCACCGATGGCCTTTCCCCACTGCAACTCTCAGGCCAGCTCAACAGCCTGCCCTGCTCCCTGACCTTCCGCCAGGAGGAGACCATCAGCATCATTCGGCTTATTGAGCAGGTGGGGTTCTGGTGGGGTCAGGGGCTGAGCAGGACCCAGGCTCAGTCTGTGTGTGTCCCTAACTCAGTTCTCTGGCAGTTTCATTTGCTTCTGCCTCCTTCTAGCAGGAGCCTCTGGCTCTTGGGTGAAGCTTGTCAGCTGTGGGGCCTGAGAGGGGCCAACCAGGCACAGGCATAACCTGTCCATCTTGACCCCAGGCTCGGCACGCCACCTACGGGATCCGTAAATGCTTCCTCTTCCTGCTGCAGTGCCAGCTGACACTCGTGGTCATCCAGGTAAGGGACCAGCATAGGCAGTGTCCCCTCCCTGTCACTCTGGTCCTTAAGTAATGGGTGAGAGACTAGGGTGCTGGAAGGGAGGTCGCCCAGTCAAGGAGTCCCCAGGACCTCTCTGAACCCCCCAGGCTTTTGGAGACAATTTCTGTTGGTGAAATGGTGTTCTCTACCCCCTGTCCCCCCCAGTCTGAGGTAGCCCTGGGGAGCCCAAGTCTCTCTATTATCCAGAATTGAATTCTGGTTTCGGCTCTTTCCTGATCTAGTTCCTGTCTTGCCTGGTCCAGCTGCCCCCGGTTCTGAGCACCACCGACATCCTGTGGCTGTCCTGCTTTTGCTACCCTCTGCTCAGGTGAGAGACCAGGTTGGGGTCCGAGTCCTGCTAAGGGTAGCTCAGACCCTCGGAACAGGAGGAACTAGGAGGAGCTTCCATATGCCATCTCCCCACCAGTCTTCCCAAGACCCCTCAAGGCTTCCCACATGGGACTTGGAGGACCGAGGACCAGTCACCCACCTACTGTCACCCAACCTCTGCTTTTCAGCATCTCTCTCCTGGGGAAACCCCCGCATAGCTCTATTATGTCCATGGCGACAGGGAAAAACCTTCAGTCCATTCCTAAGAAGGTAAGCAAAGCAAGGACTGTGAGGCTGGGTCTTTCAAGGAGGGATGTGAGCTCAGAGCAGGCCGGGGTGAGGAGGGCGAGGGCCTAACCAGAACTCTCTGGAAAACTCAGGGTGGGGATTCCATCAGGACCGAGTCCTGGTCCTCCTCCAGATCACAGCTGAGAAGGGTGCTCGCTGGAGGCAGGGGCCTGCTCCTTGTCTCCCCAGGCCTGACTGGGCTCCCCACTTAGAGCCTGTGGACCACACACACAAGCTTCTAGGTGCCAGGCCTGGTATCGTCCTGAGGGCCTCCTTCTCCCCACAGACCCAGCATTACTTTCTGCTTTGCTTCTTGCTCAAGTTCAGCCTTACCATCAGTTCCTGCCTCGTCTGCTTTGGCTTCACACTGCAGAGCTTCTGTGATAGCTCCCGGATCCGCAACCTCACCAACTGCTCCTCCATCATGCTGCCCAGGTGGGTGAACCCTCTCGGCTTCCTCCCACCCACCCTGCCCACCTCCCTTGGGCCCCAGAGGAGGCTGAGCCCACGTCTGATTTGGCAGCAACGCCGACACAGCTCCAGACTGGCTCAAGGACTTCGCCAATGGGTTGCTGCTGGCCCAGAAGCTCACTACTGCCCTGATTGTCCTACACACTGGTGAGGCCTCCTGGGAGCAGGGGCTGACGGGGCACAGCCTCGGGCGGGTGGGCGGTCATCCTGACAGCCTGTTGGTCCCCTTCTCTGCAGTATTCATTTCTATCACTCACGTGCATCGCACCAAGCCCCTGTGGAGAAAGAGCCCTTTGACAAACCTCTGGTGGGCCATGACGGTGCCCGTGGTGTGAGTACTGCAGGGGTGAGGCGGGATCAGGAGGACAAGGGCTACTGCAGGGTTGGATGTGAGGTTCCACCAGGCCACTTTCTTGAGCTCAGTTTTGTATGGAAAAGCCTGGGAGGAGGCAGGGAGGCTTAGTGTTCATGTGGTTCTGCCCCCGCCCCATACAGGCTCCTAGGCCAGGTGGTCCAGACGGCGGTGGACCTGCAACTCTGGACACATAGGGACAGCCGCGTCCACTTTGGCCTGGAAGATGTGCCTCTGTTGACATGGTTGCTGGGCTGCCTCTCCCTGATACTCGTGGTGGTCGCCAACGAGATTGTGAAGTTGCACGAGATCCGGTGAGGTGCCAGCATGCCTCCTTAGGGGTCACCTCCCCACAGCTAAGCCCCTGATCTGAGGGTCTCTACTAACCTGCCCTTCAATCTCCCACCCCCAGGGTCCGAGTCCGCTACCAGAAGCGACAGAAGCTACAGTTTGAAACGAAACTGGGCATGAACTCGCCCTTTTGAGCCATGGTGGCCCCTGCTGGCCCGGGTCACCGAGTGAGCCAGACCTGCTCCTGAGTTGGGGAGCTGGAGTCATGAATGAATGGTTCAGGGTTCGCTCTTGGCCCCCTTAAACCAGATGTCGCCAGGAGCTAGAGGCCCAGCTTCTGCTTCAGGCCTGCGGTCTTCTGGATCCTGGCACGGTCTGTGAGCTGTGGCTTAGAGGTGTGGCCTTGGCCGCCCTCGGGCCAAGTCTGGCCTCTTCCCTGAGCCGAGTGAGGGATGCTCTTGCACGTATGCCCTTATGTGTACTGTAGAGGACCTTCACCCTTTGCCCCTGCAGGCTGCCCCCTCTGCTCTGCTCTCGGGTATACAAGCACAGCTATGAGTTGTGGGCAGCGACAACAGGGTGCACGTTCTCCAGGCCTGGCTGTTGAAGGGCAGGGCTGCTGCTTCCTGTTCTCTCATTCAGTCTCCCTGGGCAGGGCCTGATGCCCTGCCTGACCAGGTCCTTCCTCCCAACCTGAGGATGGAACACCGCCCCGCTGGCCACCCCTAGGCCACAGTCATCCCCTGAGCTACGGGGCTAGCCCCTATTATCCCTATCCCTGTTCTCTGATGTGAGAATGTTTTTACTGGTATATATTTTCTACCGGAAATGAGCCTTATAGGGATGACTATAGATGGTTTGTATTAAAACTTGTAAATTGCTTAAGAAAAGCCTGTGCCTGGTGTGAGGCTGAGACAGGGAGCCCTGCTGAAGGCCAGTGAATGGGTAAGGGCTCACACTGTCCTCAGTCCACCGCAGCAGGGCCTTGGACTTGGTCAGTGGTACAAACGCAAACACACAGCTGAACACGTGGAATGATGACACTTTCATTGGTGTTAGTTGGGGGAGGAGGTTAATGATTATAAAGCTGGGGCCGGGGCTAAACAGATCCAACTTCCAGCCCCAAAGGAGGCAGAATACACTCACTGCAGCCAAAGGCCCCTCACCACGTCCTCTCAGGCAGTTAATAGATAGAAATAAATTCCATTTAAAATATATGCATTTCTCTCTGCTTAAAAAATATCATTTACAGTTGAAAAAGCTTGGGCTTCTGAGATAGGGGCTGTCACTTCTACTGCTTGGCACCCCTAGACAGGGGCTCGGGTGGGAGCACACCTGTGCCTGGCCTTGTATTTGACACAGCCTACACCTGCAGGAAGACACCTGGGCAGTCAGTCCCACAGTGGGGATGGTGCACAGTATGTCCCTCAGGAGCCTCGTCACACCCCTCTTCCCAGGGCTGTCGGTGGGTTACACTCAGGGCTGGGCCAGAGGCTCCTCAGCCGGACAGGTTTTGGCGAGTCCCCGCAGGCCAGAGCAGAACTGACATCCTGTGGGGGGGGGTGGGGAGCTCCAGCTGGGGCCAGCACCCCCATGCCATTGATCCCTCAGGAAACAGGCACTCCTTCCAAGCTGGAGCCAAAGTGGTGGATGCCACAGGTGATGGTCGGTCTGGCTCAATCCAACATGGCGTCGAGCTGGTTGGCCAGGGCGTCAAACATGGTGCTGATGTCATCCAGGATGTGCTTGGTGGACAGCCCAGGGGGGCTACGACAAGGGAAAGGGCCCACTCAGATGCTGCCTCCATCCTGCACCCCGTCTCCCCACGAAGAGTGGCACCCTTGACAGCTGAGCTCACAACATCACCTCAGAGCTTGTCCCTGGACACCATGGGACTGTTTCTGTGGGAAGCGAGGCCTCCCCTCTGAGGCTCTGCCATGACTAACCCTCCCACCCCCGCAACAGGCCCAGCCCCTCACCCGGCTTGCTCCTCTGCACCAATGCTCTTCTCAGCAGCCCTCAGTGCTGCGGCCAGGGATGAGCTGGTCTGCTCCAGTCTCTGCTGTGCCCTGCCTGTGCCCGCGGGCCCCATGCTCTCGGGCCTCGGAGGGGGCACTGGGCGTGGGCCAAGCCGAGGAGCCAGCTTCGGGCCAGAGAAGGCCAGCTGGGTGCAGGCCACTGACACAGGCTTGGGGGCTGTTCCTGCAGGGGCAAGGTTGGCTGTGACTACCAGGCCTAACAGAGCCCTGCAAAGTATCCTCTCCCTGAGGGGTTCTGCTTCATACCTGCTCCAGGCACCTTGATGAGAGCTGAGGGGGCGGCCAGGGGCTCCGTCTCCCCATTCCGGTGGTTGCCTGCTAAGTGTTCCTGCCCTGACCCAGGGCAAGGGGGCACAGACTTGGGGCTGGTGGGGAGGGGGGCAGGAAGGCTGCTAGGGTCTGGGCTGGGAGGGAGAGGCACTGAGGTAGTGTCCTCACTGGGGGGCTGTGAGGTCAGGGGAGCCGGGGAGCCAGGCATGCCACCGGTCACCCCAAAGGCCAGCAGCGCTGTTTGCAGCGGCTCTCTCTCCCGGCACTTAGGCCTCCGCTTAACAGTGTCTGACTCCGTGAGGTTGAAATCCAGGCCGGGGGACATGGGTGTCTCTCGAGCTGGAGGACCAGCTGGCTTCGGTCGCTGTTTGATGGTCAAGTTTCCCTCCTCGGCGAACGGCAGCCCCTCTCCTGAGCTGCCCCGTGATGGGGGTGTCCCCTCAGGCCCTGACTCTTCTTCTTCTGTGTCCGATGCAGGGCCTGCTGGGGCCGGGGGGCCAGGGGGCTCCAACGGGCCAGCCGGTTCACTCAGGGTGCGCCTTCGGGGTCCTGCAGCCCCTTCCTTGGGCCCCGAGCTCCCATCCAGTGGAGGTGGCTCAGAGGTGGGGCTTGAAACAGAGCTGAGGCGCTTCGGGGGTGGTGGCGGGGGTCCTTTACGGCGAGCCCGAAGGGCGAAGGACTGGCTACGGGGAGCCCCCCGAGTGGGAGTGGGAGTGGGACTGGGACTGGTCCGGGGGAGGGCGCTGCGTCCCGGTCTCCGAGTGAGCGTGGCGTAGCTGCCCAAAGCACTGCCCACAGGCCCCTCAGCCTCCCCCTCAGCGTCCTCCTCCGCTGGGCCAGGCCGGCTGAGACTGTGGGACCGGCGCTTGGGCCGAGGAGGGTCTGGGGGCATGGCTGGGGGGCCAGCCAAATAGGAAAATGCCCGGGGCGCACTGGGAGGTGGCCCTGAGACTGGGCTTGAGGGCGAACCCTGAGGGTACATAAACACATAAGAGGGGGCCCCCTGGCCAGAAAGTGGGGAACAGAGCTTGGGGGGCCGCTCTGTGCCTTCAGGAAGGTTCCTCTCTTGTGGGGTGCTAGAGTCTCCACCACTGGGCTGGGGGGTCGGATGCTCCTGGGAGTGGCCAGATCCTCTTGAGCGCGCCCCAATGCTCTCCTGGCTTGGGGAGCGGGTGGGCGGTAGGGCAAGCGGCTCAGGGCTGCCCCCCGCCATGGCCGCTTGTAGCTCTGGGCTGAGTTCGCTGCCCTGGAAGGTGAGGAGGCGCGGGCCAGCCGCAGATGGACCGTCCCCGTTCTCCAGCCCCTCAATAGCCATCAGCTCTGGGCCCCTGGCAGGCCGGCGCCCGCCTTCACCCAGAGCCTCCCCCTGCTGCAGGCCCCGGCGGAGCTCTGCCAGCCGCTTCACCCCCAGCATGAGTTTCTTCTGATGCCCTGTGTAGTGGAGAGAGGCGGCGGTCAGCCCATGTGCCCCGACTGGACCTCTGGTGGCACAAGGGGGCCCGGGTATCCTCTGGATAGTCCTCACCGAGCTTGTTGACTCCAACCTCCTGTAGCTCCTCCCACGTGAGGTCGGCCACCAGCCCCATGGAGTCGTATCCGCTGCTCACCAGCTGCTTGTGGTACTGCGGCAGCCCCAGGGCACATAGCCATTCCAGCAAGTCCACCTAGGAGGGACCACGGTTAGCAGGCCAGCCACAGGGAGGCGGGGAACCCCAGCCCACCGCTGGCCGCCCCTCACCGGGATGTAGTTAGGTAGCCATTCAGCGATGCTGAGCTGGGCAATCTCAGAAGCTATCTTCTTCCTGTGTCCAGGCTTGGTCACCCCGATGGCTGTCAGATCCTGCCACACAGACGGGCTATCAGGCCTCCTCCTCAGTCTGCTGGGCCCTCCCAGACCCCTCCCTGCCAGGGCACCTACCTCGGGCGTCATGCGGCTGATGGTGGGCACGTCATAGCCAGCTTGCAGGAAGTGGGCCGTGTAGCTCTCCAGCTGAAACTCACTCAGCCAGTTGTGAATGGCCTGGGCGTCCTGGGGGAGGGGGTGGCATGCAGAGGAACTGAGCTAAGGCCCTGCTAGAGGAGGTGAATGGGTGAAGCCACAGGCCAGTTGGCCCAGCATCCTGTGTTGCTGCCTTTTCCCAGGGCCTGGCCTACCCTACCACCCTGTTCCTGCCACAGATATCCCAGCAGGGCACACCTTCCCCTCCAAGAGCTGCTCTGGTCTCACGTCCTGGGTGAAGATCTGTTCCCCGGAGCGGTAGTTGGCCAGAGGATGATGGTTCAGGTCATCTTCAACAAGGAAGGGATGTGGAATCAGAGATAGCAGAAGGAAGGGTTAATAAGGCTCCCACTTGCACCTCTCCCAGCCACCTGGGCCCCTCTACCCTTCCTACCTGCTAGGGGTAGGGAGTGCAGTGCTGGAAGCGGGTGGTCCTCCCCAGCAGAGGGTAACGGCTGGAGAACAGGAGGAGCTGACTCAGCATTTGCTAATCTGGTAGCAGGGGGTGACCCCCGGCCACGTCCCACTCCCCTCCCTCCTACCTGGGTATTCTCAATGAGGAGGCCGCTGCTGTGGCCGTTGGTACCCTCGGAGCTCTGCCCACTGCCGGCACTACGGATGCTGCCCACGCTGCCCTCGCTGCCCACACTGTTCCTGTCACCTGCTATAGGGGAGGACAAAGATGAAGATTTAGGGCCTCAGCTGGCACTGTTAAGAGCTGCTGGGCAGCTTGCCAAAACCCAGACTGATGCTAATGCCCCCTCCCGGGAGCACGTACCTGGGCTATCTGGACTAAGGCCCACTCGAGGGAGCTGGCCACAGGTGAGGGGGTGCAGCGGGTCATCAGCAGAGGGCTGCGGTGTCCTGGAGAAGCCAGGACGCAGGGGGGTGGGTGCAGAGGGAAGGCGGGGGGCGGGGATGGCCATTCGCTTGCTGACCACCTCAACAATGCCCGGGGGAAAGTAGCCCACGCGGTCAGTGCCCCTGTGGCTCTCGTGGATGTGGCCCTTCCAACGGCCATCTGGATGCTGCTCCAGCACCTATGACAGGTAGGGATGGTCACCCCCCTGCCCCGGGCACCGTGCCTGACACACAGTCAGTGTCAGGAAAGGAGCTGGGAGTATTGATCTCTGCACAGGGCTTCGACATTGGATCCCTCACCGTGATGACGTCCCCGGCTCGGACATTGAGGGCAGTGGGATCGTGAAGGTTCCAGAAATCCTTCAGCGCACGGACTTTCAGGATCCCGGAGGCCTCTGAGAAAAGGGGGAGGCCAGGTGTCAGCTGAGTGGTCCTCAGGGCACTGTCCAGCTCCCCCTTGTCCCTTCACACCCTTTTCCCTGCCTCATCATCCCTGCAGCATCTCCCGGTGACCAGCCCACACCCAGAGTGACAGCCCATTCCTGTATATCCGCTCCCAATCTGCTTCCTGGCACCCATGGGAACAGTGACCCTGCTGGACCCAGGCCGGGTGCCCACTAGTCCCTCACCCCGCAGGAGTTGCTTGATTTCCCGGCTGGCCTGGGACGTGGTGAACTGGTTCACGATGTCCAAGGCTGTCTGGTTGTATGTGTTCCGGATGTTGACATCCACCCCGCCCTGCATGCACAGCCCCGGGTCAGCGGCTACTAAAAGCTGGACCTGTCATCTTCCTCCTCACAGACTTGGCCCCCACCCCTGGAGCAGGTCCTATCTTCCCTTTCAGATCTCACAGGTGTGGACACAGAAGTGCAGAGCCGGGGTTAAGGCCTAGGTCAAGGTCAAGGCCGGGGTTAAGGCCTAGGTCAAGGTTGCTGGGCCAGTCTGCTCTGAGCCAGCATCCTGACCCGTGGCCTCTTCCTGCTGCCCGTACAAGGTGCCATGTTTGCTTCACAGCTTCCCTGCCGCGTGCCCCCAGCCCCACCCTATGCTGCACATAGACAGGTCTGGACACACCTGCTGGGCATCTCCAAGGCCCACACCCACCTCCAGGAGCAGCCGTACCACCTCGGTCTTGCCATACAGAGCTGCCTCATGGAGGGCCGTGCCAGTCTTGGTCTGCCGATTGATCTCGATCCCAGCCCGAAGGAGCTGCCTATTGGGGAGTGAGTCACAGGGGGGTGGGTGGGTGGAGTGGGCAACACAGGAAGCCATGAGTGGGACTGAGAGACAGGTCTCCAGCAAGGGCCACAAGGTCAGCAGAGGAAAGCATCATGGGTTCATGGTGGTCCCACAGAGAGTGAGGAGGAAATGTTGGGGGGTGGGGGAGGGTAAGTACCTGATTACTTCTCTGTGGCCATTCTTGGCAGCCAAGTGCAGGGGCGTGGTATAGTTGGGGTCACAGGGGTCCTTGGCCTCGCCCTCCAGCAGGGCCACACATAAGTGGCTATTCAGTAGCAGTTGGGTCACCTGCAGCATGCAGCACCCAGGTGAGCCTTCTCCCTGCACCCTAGATGCCCAGACCCTGCCTCCCACCCCCCATTGCCACAGGCCTCACCTTGAGCCGCCCAAACTCACAGGCCAGGTCCAAGGGCGTCTTCTTGGCCTTGTTGATCAGGCAGGGGTTGGACTGATGCTGGAGAAGCATCTCTGACTGGGAGGGTGGGGGGGAGCCAGGTTAGCCAGGACAGCCCCCCTGCCACCACCCTGACTCTCTGTCCCCCAACCTCCTCAGAGGGCTCCCATACCACTTCATAGTGTCCGTACTGGGCAGCCAGATGCAGTGGGATCTGCCCGTCCATGGAGGCGGCATTGACGGCAGAAGAGGCCCGCAGTAACAGCCTCACAGGCTCCAGCCGACCCTGCCAGGCCGCGTAGTGTAGTGGTCGCATGCCTGACGGGAGGGGCGGGGCTTCAGAGGGAGGTCTGGGACAGCATGGGACTTAGCAGAATCTGACATGACACGGGCCAAGGGGACACTGGTCTCATCCAGGTTTAGTTGTGGAGACAAGGTAGCATCCCACTGTTTCCACTCCAAGAGAACAAGATAACCTGTGAGCCTCAATCTTCTCATCTGAACAATGGGCCAATAGCACCATGCACTACTCCACAAGGTTGTGAGGATGAAGGAGGTAAAGATCATTTGCAAGTCCAGAGAAGCCCTGCCAACACTGATTACTACTGCTACGATTTCCCTGGATGGTATAATGAATTAATGTGCTCGGTCACTAATTGCAAGGTTGGTAGTTCAAGTTCACCTAGAAACACCTTGGAAGATAGGTCTGGCAATCTATTTCTGAAAATAGCCATTGAAAATGCTAGGAGCACAGCTTTACTCTGACCTCCATGGGTTCACCATGAGTCAGAGCTGTTCCCATGGTAACTGGTTTAATGATGGACCCTGAGTGAGCCCAGGGTCTGGGCATGGGTAGACGG